TTTCTTCGTGTAGTATGCATATACGTACATTTCTTCGTGTAGTATGCATATACGTACCTTTCTTCGTGTAGTATGCATATACGTGCATTTCTTCGTGTAGGATGCATATACGTACTTTTCTTCGTGTAGTATGCATGTAGTACAGCCCTACTTATCATACCCGAGTTACTTGATATGTTGTTACTATCGCCACAGATTCTCTGCACGGGCATACCTGATGGTGCGGGTGTTAGTGTGCTTCTTAGCAGAGCATCTCTCCAGTGAACACCACTGGCATGTAGTCCTGTAATACTATCCGTGCGTAAATCAACTCTTTCCGACAAAGTATTTACGCATGGTATTGTTCGATTGTTAACGTACTTTACTCCTATACGTTAACGCATATCCCTTTTTAGTACCGAAATTATCCAATTGACGTACGCAATATATCTGTCTCTGACACACATTCTTTGCATACCGTCCTGTACGCTTCTTCGCCCCTACCCAGCCCACACGTGACCCACATAACGTTAACGTATATTCCCGCAGATCCTGTCATGGGCCTACCCCATTGTACGCATGTGGCCCGATCACTTGGTGGCGTTCCTAGTCGAGAATCTCTTCAACTGGCTGTCGCTGGTAGGGCTCAACAACAACCACTGGTACTACCACAAGATCATTGCGCATGTGCGAGGCATCATGCACGCCCACCCGAGCAGGTCTATAGTCATCACAGGACACTCACTAGGTGAGTTGTGGGCATGCATGCGTGCGTGCATATGTATACTGGTGTTTGCTATACACCTGTAGGTAACTCTTTAACACGCATGTGTGCTTGTCTTGTCCACACATGTATATGTCCTACACACGCGCGTGTGCGTGTAAGTATGCGACCCATGTGCATGAATTCGTGTATCGCACACGTGTGTGTGTTTGTGTGTGTGTCCGTGTCCGTGTTTGTTGGTGTGGGTATGTCTTCATAGCTTGCTATCGCGGCATGTCTGCCTGCCTATGTGTGCTGCTGTGTAGAGTCCATGTATACTCGGTTGCGTTGTGAGATGAAGCTCCTCTACCACACTAGCACGGTACGCTGCGATGACTATTTACCTACTAATTTGCGATGACTATTTACCTACTTGTTTTCTATACCTATTTACTTACTTGTTTTCTATACCTATTTACCTACTAATTTGCGATGACTATTTACCTATTCATTTGCGATGACTATTTACCTACTAATTTGCGATGACTATTTACCTATTCATTTGCGATGACTATTTCCCTATTCATTTGCGATGACTATTTACCTATTCATTTTCGATGACTTTCTACCTACTTCACAGCTGTGTGCATCTGCAACATTTTGCGTGGTAGGGCTGACACCCAGTATCGGCAGGTGTATCATTGATTAGTTGCTCACGAACTCTGACCGACTCTATATATGTCCTTAGGTGGTGGATTGGCTCGCATTACTGGCTACCTTACAGGAAAATCAAGTGTCACGTTTTCTGCGCCTGTATGTCATACTGTATATTTATATATATTTATATATATATATATATATGTGTGTGTGTGTGTGTGTGTGTGTGTGTGTGTGTGTGTGTGTATGTATGTGTGTATGTATATTATTATATCTGTACATATATATATAAATACATATATATATATGTGTGTGTGCGATGTGCGTGTGTATGTGTGTGTGTGTGTATGTGTATGTATATATATTCGTGTGT